CCCGCTGCGCATCCGTTCTGCGCATAGATCAACTTGAAAAAGTTCACCCAACTTTTTCAAGTGTATCGAATTTCAATATGGCGTCTGACCAGGGCGCCATGCACGGAGGTTCAAGGAAAAATGCTGGTCGAAAAAAGGTGTTTTCGAGCCGAAAAGAATACAGAAAGTTATGGGAGAAAGATCACAAAAGGATATATTTAAGTGCTAAGATCTTTGATACGTGGCAAGAGGCCAAAACAACGGCTGGATACGAGTGTTCGAGTGACACTGACTTTGCTGCACATCTGTTGTCATTGGAATTCCGCCGCAGGTAGGTTTACAATATGATTTTCAATATATTTTTGAAGAATAAACGAAACTAATCTACAGCTTATTTTGCTTGTGTATTTAAGGGAATCAGCGTCTGCAAATGTACTGCCAAAACGACGACGAAATTCAAACAAATCGATTCTGGTGGCAACTGAGTCTTCGACTACGGAAGTACAACAAAATGCCAATGATTCTCAAATGCTTGAACAACATGCAAACATCAGCCAAGGTATGAAGATGACTTTTATATAGGATGTGCTTTGTAATGGGGTAATATTGTATCCAGTTTTAAAATACGATTTCGCAAGGTATATAATGTAGACATTAAAAATATGCCTGGCCACGGTGGGAATCGAACCTACGACCTTTGGATACTAGCCCAAATGCTCTGCCAACTGAGCTACCGGTCAGGTCGGTTCGAGTATGTGATATTTCGCAACAGAATCTAGTTCCTTCGATATCTATGTAATATAGTAATCATGATTTTTTTCTGTGTTGGCGTAGAATGTCCACACAGGGCAAGCTTGAAAAATATGCTTGGCCAGGGTGGAAATCGAAACCTACAACCTTTGGATACTAGCCCAAATGCTCTGCCAACTGAGCTACTGGTCAGGTCGGTTCGAGTATGTGATATTTCGCAACAGAATCTAGTTCCTTCGATATCGATGTAATATAGTAATCATGATTTTTTTCTGTGTTGGCGTAGAATGTCCACACAGGGCAAGCTTGAAAAATATGCTTGGCCAGGGGGTGGAAATCGAAACCCACAACCTTTGGATACTAGCCCAATGCTCTGCCAACGGAGCTTGGTGGAAGGTTTTTGGTTTGATTCCCACCCTGGTCAGGCATATTTTTAAGCTTGACAGGTGTTGATATACACTGAGAGTAACATAAGCATCATATTCACCTGAGTACATTACACCAACATAGAAAAAATTAATATAGAAATCTATATAAAATCGTATAAAATATTATAAAAAGAATTGGTTTATATTTATATTTATAGCATTGACAACAGGTGTTTGATATTTCCTGCTTTCTAGAACCCCAAACATCTACACCATTGAAAAGGTCATATGACAAAACCCTTAAATCTCATGTTGAGTCACCTATTAAAAGTCATGAACCTTTCCAACCAACTTTTGAACATGATGAAGACAGTAGCTGTATGCAAGTGAATGAAGATAAAATTTCTGATGTTAATGCGTCATTTCAGGACAGGTATAAAGCAATAAATTATAATAGTGTTTTAATTTATACCATTGTTTACCCATTAAATGTTTATCAGTTTATTTAGAATTGTATGTTTGTAAGTATTCATTTTTCATATATTGTAGTTTTGTTGGTGAGCAAGACTTTTCTGTGAGGAGGGAAGGAAACACCTCTATATTCTCAGATGATGAAGGAGATTCTGAAGAAACTATTTCTGTGGAAAGTTTTGGGTACTATCATGTTATCATCATAGTAATTGAATTTTAGGATTGTGAGATACTGTATACTGGCTATATCATGTACAGTATATCAAAATTTATACAATGGGTTCATGGTGCCTGCATTGACATGAATGGGTCTTTGGCAAGCTGAACTGCAAGAGTACACATTGACCAATTAGAAAGCTAATATGTTTGGGCAAACACCATGGATTAAACCTGATTTAACCTATTTTTACAGGCAGCATGACCTTACCAGTTCAGCAATTGAGTTGCTAGATGATGAAGAAATTCTTGATGAAAATAAGTAAGTAATTTTGAATGTATTGTTTATTTTTGTTCTTTATTAATTAATGAAATATAAAATAACAGAAATCCTATTAGTGAAATTCTATTAGTGATTTGGTGTGGCTTGTTACTTAAAATATCACACTTGTATCAAGACTGATTCTCTTCAGGCCTTTTGATGGTACATATTTTAGAGTATTGGCTGGGGGGTGGGGTCCTACTTGAGATAGGGAATCATAGAGTATAAAATTATCTGCTGTTAGATAGGGTAAATAGTAAATACTAAGTACAATATGGTGCATTTGGGTGCATTGCCTGCTGATGGTTAACAATAGACATTAGCAGATGGGTTTGTTAACCCATTTGCTATTAACGGTTGGTGGGTTAATTAATAGTAAAATGTGCCATACGTTAGTATTTTATCTAATGCCATTGCCAGATGATTTTCCTTGTCAGTGATAGAGCACTGGCAGTAGATATTAAACAAATTAGTGTGAATAACTTAGTACATCATTCAATACATGAGAGTGGCCTTATTTTAGAGAGGCTTAATAGAGAGATTGTATAAGTTTTGATATTGATGCATTGAAATTTGTTGCCATTGAAAGATTATTTAACTCTAGCAATTTTTATTGACAGGGAAATTGATGAATTGGCCTACTGGCACTACGATGATTTTGATGAGTTTGACCCTGATGATCATGAGGTGCAAATCGATGATTCTGTTCCAGAAGATGATGGTGAAGCTACCGAGAACAAGAGCAGTGTTGAGTTTGGACCACACCCAAAGTTCACTCGAGGGTATGAGAAGTATGCCCTGGAAAATGAAATGACGATGGTCAATGAGAAGCGATTCATTTGCTCCCTGGATTTGCTATTGGATATCTTCACCAAATGTTGTCAGGTTCCGGGTTGCAATGATATTCCACATGTAAAACATCACTTTGTTGGTACTACCTTAATTGTGAACTGTTCCTGCCAATCTGGACATATATTTAGGTTCTGTTCTTCTCGTGAGGTTAACTCCATGTATGTGAACAACATCCAAATGGCTGCAGCTGTGTTATTGTCAGGTGGTAATTATGGAAAGGTGAAGCGTTTGGCTGCAGATATGAATTTGGCTTTCATATCAGACTCAACCTACTTTCGAATACAGAGACTGTATCTTCTACCGGCAGTAGATGAGTGGTGGGGTTGGATGAGAGGTCAACTCATAGATGAATTTCGAGGCAAGGAAGTACTAGTCAGTGGTGATGGCCAGTGTAATTCCCCTGGTTTCAATGCAAAAAATTTATGCTACTTTATAGTAGAAGTCAGTTCTGACTATATAATCCATGTTGAAATTGTGGACAAGCGACAAGTTGGCTTAGTGTCAAATAATATGGAAAAAGAAGGATTGAAGAAATCTTTGAAGAAACTTCAAGAAGATTTAAATGTGGTTGAGTTGGTCACAGATGCCTCTTCTTCAATTAAGAAACTGCTTGGTAGGTTTAACATTTACTTTAATTAAGTAATTGTCCACATGTGTGTTTAACTAAAGCCATATTCATAGTAAAACACATGGTGGTCAACTTTGCACATATTGCCTCTTTATACGTTGTGGAAGCGAGCAAATTTTGTTAAATTTTCTGTATTTGCGATTATAAACACAAGGTGAATACATATAATGGATAATGAACTCGATCCAATAAGTGTGTTTCCTTTTTGAATTGATCACCAAGTGCTCACATGTCAGTGTCACATGATTGAAACCCAGCTATAGGTGATTAATATAGGCCAACAAAAGTCAAATGTGCAAGCTATGGGCGCTTTCCATTTAATGACCTGACCGGTCAGACCCAAATTTTTGTCTCTGTATCAATGGAAGGATCTGGTTTATGATTCTCAAATATGTGGCGAAAATGTACCTCATTCTTATTCTATCTACATTTTCCAATCAGATAAGTCCGAAGCCCAAATGTTTTGCGTTCCATTAAAAAATTTGACCAGTCTGGCTGTGTTAACGGAAAGTGCCCTAACATCCAGGCCCGCCGAGAGGTTGGTGGGGGCCCGGGCCCCCAGAACATGGGGGCCCGGGGCAATTTGCCCCCCTCTCTAGGCAGCCCTGCTAACATCCAAATGTAATTATGTACATATAAAAGTAATGCTATCATTTTAGAAACTGACTTTGAAGAAGTGATACATAGTTTGGATGTGTGGCACAAGGCGAAATCCATAAAAAAGTGTCTTGACAAGGTTAGTTTGCACTAAATATATAAAATATATACAATGTAGTTGGTTTTAGAACCAGTTTCCATTATGTATATATTTTTGTATTCATGTAGCTTGCCAAACCAAAGGCTATGAAGAAAATAAAAGATTGGTCAAGCCACATCATCCGTCATTTCTGGTATTGCTCGAGCGAATGCAAGAAAGATGAGTCTACATCAGATGCTGCTGCTTTAAAACTGATGAAAGTAAGTTTTTGTTCATCATCGAATCTACATTCATTATAGCATGTAAGACTGTCAAAATAAGGTGACATAGCCATAAAAAAGAATGTCATGTAGATTCCCTATATCTGCAAGCAAACTGTCTGTTACATGGACTACATGTACATATTTTTTGTTACATACCAACAGGACATGTGGATAGGGCTATTGCATCACGTGTGCAATAACCATGAATGGCTTGGAGGGAAATGCCAGCATCTTGAAGGAGACCATGATGAGGACCTTCCTTGGTTTGACAGGCGAGATAAAGACTTCCTTGAGCTCCAGAAGGTTATCCTTAACCCAGATTTAGGTTTAACAAGAATTAACAAGATTTAGGTAAACAGTCTTTATAATATTACATGTATATATTACATAAAATACAGGTGGTACACTTGTATATATACATGGGCATTGCCTGCTCTAAGCACAGGGTGGTGGAATATTCAAATGCACCAGATGAGGAATATATTAGAAGACGGTTAATTTGTAGAAAATATGCATGATTGTATTAATATAATGTAAGTATTAAAAAATTGGTCTTGAAGAAATGGGGTGGTCCTGATCCCTTCCATACCCCCCCTCCCCCCATCCAATGTGAGTCTATATATAAATATAGAAGCTCTTCTATTTTAGACATACTGGAGGAATTGAGCGTGCCAATAGTCTCAGCCTTGTTTATACACCCAAGAGAGTGCCATTGAGGTGAGGATCCAAAAATTGCTTTATAATTTGGTGTAGTATATTATGGCAAATTGCATGATTGTACAGATACTGTAGATATATGTATATATATTGTAAAAACTCCTAGCTGTATTGTACTGAATATATTATTCCCTTAGTTATAGAGTGTATAAAGCCTGTAAGCAATTGACTGCAATCGATTGGAACTACCACATCAATATTCAAAATGCAAAAAGTAAGTCTGGTGTGGAAATGTTGACAAGAAGATACAACAGAAGGACCAGGCAGTGGGATGTGAAAAATGTCAAAGTTGAAAAAGGATTTGAGTACATTCCTGTTCTTATTGCAAAGGTTATCCAACGGAGACTGCATGATGATGAGTAATATAACCCGCCATGTTTCATTAAATGCAAGCGACCCAGGCCACATTGCTCCCACCGTTGCACATATACCACCACCAGCAACAAAGGACATACCAAAAAGAAAAAGCCGATTTTCACAATAACTAATATA